CTTTTTACACTGCTTTTATCCAAAGGGGTGGGTGAAATAAAATCACGTGTACCGAAAAAAATGAGTCGGTGACCCCTAATTTCTTTTAATATTTTGACTAAAGTATAAATTTTAAAGGACGTTTAAAGAAAAAAAATCAAAAATTTATTTCAGGAATTTTTTAATAAGCCGATTTTAAGACTAAAAATGCGGCTAAACTGAACGTCAAATTTTACACAAAATTGATAGTTTTCTTTCCATTACTCAAACAATTTTCGGCGTAAAACAATAAATTTGATATCAGCTTAAAGGAAAAAATAGTTTCCATTGAATGCTGTAGGATTTTAGATTTTTTGTCCGCCAATGGCGTTGAAATACCCGTAACCGTTGCCAAGGATACGCAACGACGTCATGTTCAAAAACGGGCTTTGATGGTCAACTTTGATGTCGTGTGTACAAAAATTGGCTGAAACTATTGAAATAATATCAACAAAATCCAATCAGAAATATGGTCAATTTTGTGCATGCCAATTTTCAAGACGCTACTCGAAAGTTCGCAAAGTGTCGCGTTCTACCTTAAGATTCTGAGTTCTGACACAAGACACTTTGACTTGGTGTGTGGAGCTCAAAACGCCTTTAAAATCAAAATGAAATGCAGTACTGAGTACTATAAAACCTGTTCTCTGAAGTCTCTTTTGCATAAATCATATGTTAAGATATGAATTTTTTCAAAACGGATTGTATTATAATAATCTACGCTAAGTTTTTTTTATATAATATATATTTATATATGATAATTACATTTTGTACATGTACTGGGATTGTCAAGTAATCATTTTATTTGGATATTAAAGGCGTTTTTAGCTCAGCACACCAAGTGTCTGTGGAATCTGGATTCTGAGATATTTTCGTTCTGGGTCAGAATCTCACTTTTACAGTAGGCGTAGAGGCGAGATATTGCCCACACACAAAATAGTAAATTATCTTGTCACCCAATGCAATTTGCAGGAATTACAGTCAACCCGGCCCAAGTTAACCCGGCCTCAAGTCAATCGAGCCCAAAAATTAGTCAACCCGGCCCTAAAATTGGTCAATCTGGACCTACATTAATTTTATTTGGTCAATGCGGCCCCAAAATCGGTCAATCCAGCCCCAAAATGATTTTCAGAGAATATCTTATTAAATTAAATTATTATGTTTTAGACAATATTTTGCTTCTTTCATATATTAAATGATATATTTATTACACACAAAAAAAAAAATTAAAAAAAAAATGTATAAATAATTTCATATTTACAAATAAATAAAACTTTACTGAATGAAGATTATGAACCATGTAATAAAGTTATTGAAAACATTATTAGGCTATAATTTGTCGGTATTTTAATTGCTTTTATACATGATGGTGATAATGAATGATTACATAAAATTCAATAATAATTATTATGTGTGATCGTATGCATTTATTCAAACGTGATGAACAAATAAGTAAGAGCAATCAATAAACAAAGAAATATTAATTGTGAAAAAACCTTGGCCTGTTTCATGTCTTTATTTGATGTAAATTCGAAAATATATTTTCCTAAATATGAAAATGCTTTAACTTATGATGTCTATTTTGGTACCGTTACGATACTAGTAAATCAAGAGAAAAATAATGAAATAATTTTAATTTTTTAATAACTCACTTTTGAAATATTTTAGGACTTACTACACGGATTTATATTACATCCGTGCTTACTCTATGTGTTTTCTTTTTCCACATGTACCTCTACAAAGAGCTGTCCGCAACACTCAGCCCTTATTAAAACTGTGTCTACAGGTATAGACCCGAAATCGAGAGAAGAGAGAAACGTTTTAATATTATCAATATAGCACTTCTTTTTCACTTTTTCTTATTATCTTTCTATATCTTTATTCTATTCAGGAAATAATAAACCGCACAAGAGAATGTATTCAAAGATCTGTTTTAGAATCGTCACCTTTTCTTTAAATAAGTTGTTAGTTAAACAATAGAGCACATTAGTTAACTAGTTTTGATGACAACGGCTAATGTGTAGATATCATAATCTTTTTTTTTTATCTTGCAATAATAATTATTCACATTATTTCTTGAGTAGAAAAAGTTATTGAAGGAAATTTAGTGGCAAATAACTAATAATAAAAATTGGGCCGGGTTGACCAGATATCAGATTGAATTGGGGCTGGATTGACTAATTTGGGGCAGGATTCTCTTGAGGCCGGGTTGACTTAGGGCCGGGTTGACTTGTACCGGGAATCTGGGTCAGCTCGGCCCTAAACTGCACTCTGCCCCCGTGTCAGCTCGGCCCTATTCCAACTCGGCGCGTGTCAACTCCGCCCACTTTTCAATTTATTAAAATGTTGGAACCACATAATATCTGGACTTATTCATAAAAGTGTAAAGATGTTTTCTAAATCAGTATTACATTTTTGTGGGTAATGAAAGCGTTTTTAATGATTTGGGTAATAAAAACTTATGACAATCCATCCTTGGGACATAGCAAAATTCATTGCATGTTAATAAATGCTTAACATGTTGTTGTTATGTATGTAAAAGGAACATACACCGTATTTGTATTATAGTAATTTTTAACGAATCTGCATGAATAAACATAACAATTTTTTTTCTAAATATACATTAACTCTGCAGAAATACAATGTACAATTATATAATAATATACCAGATATCTGTTGTTTCTTGTTGTTGTTTTTTTTTTCATTTAAAACAGCTTTCCTTGATTACATGATAACATAATCAGAAAAAGTTAATATGTTTAATATGTTTTTTTTGTTCAAAGTGTGCCAAGTTGGTATAGGACAGAGTTGACTCTTTACCTTGGACTAGACATATAAAATAAAATATATCACAGTACAACTCAATTACATCCACTTTACCACACTTCTGTCGGGGTTTTAGGTTTTTAGTCAAGAAAAATGTTGGCAAAAGTTTTCAAAACCAACACAATCTAGCAGATACTCGCATTACCATTAAGCCCGCTTTGCCAGCATGCCCTTTGGGCCAGCTCTTTGAGCTTACTGTTAATTAAAGGCCATTTAAGCTATTTTAGTTTATCTTATATATGTGTTTTGAATGTGTCTTATATTGAAATAGTTTCTGTTATGTAAATACATTGTATTTGTTTACATGACATAATTTATTTTCTATTTAGTAATTTACAACAGCTTAAAACTTTGATAGAAATTAATTTGAATCTGGAGAGGAGGTGCTGAATCTGGAAACATGTATTTCATTTGTAAAGCCTCAATGAAAAATCTTTTAACAGTTACACATACAATGTATGATGGCATTTAATTGAGTAATTTATCATTAAATGCCAAAACATACAAACCCAACAACCATACATTCTGACATGATTCACTGTTATTGATGATATTCAACATCATACTTATTATTTCCTTTTCAGAAATATAAAATGACACGTTCTGAACTTGAAGCTTCCAAGTTGCGAAATCAACAAATTTTTGAAAAACTGATGAAAGATCCTGGAGTGAAAAACAAGTAAACTTGATTCTGAATTTTGCAGCTTAAAAGTGTGATTTTTAAAGTCAATGAACTAGTGATTGACTGCTAGAAGTTTATCATTGTGTTAAAAAAAAAGAAATTGTGCTCACAAGAATAAACATGTCATCAGCATCAAGAAGAAGTTTACAATTAACCCTTGCAATATTAAAAACCTAATGTGGTTTCTCATCCACATCTAGTTCATCAGATTAAAGAACTTATTCATCAAAAAGAATTCTTGTTTATTCGCTCAAAAAGAATGCATCTACCAAGAGCGAGAGTCGAGGATTTCTACAGGGAGCATGAAGGGCGATTTTTTTACAATAGACTGGTGTCATTTATGTCAAGTGGACCAATCAGTACCCATATTCTGGCTCGAGAAAATGCCATAGCAGAGTGGAGAAAGCTAATGGGAGCAACTAAAGTATTTAAAACTATACATGAGGATCCAAACAGTATTAGGGGACAATTTGGTTTGACAGACACAAGAAATTCAACGCATGGGTCCGATTCTGATGAAACTGCGTTGAAAGAAATGAACTTTTTCTTTCCAGAATTTGATGTTGAAGATTGGTATAGGGAGTCTGAGAGACACTTCTTGACTGGTGATGTGTATTTTGACGAAGAACATGATATACATAGATATAAACTAAATCATGCAAAACTTAAAAGCTAAAATGAAAGAAGTCTTTTCTTTCTGTTATTATGTCATTGGAATAACTTGGGTAGCATGAATTCTGAGTAATGTGGAAGTGGTATCAAAGAAATATTAAGTGGTATTTACTGTTTAGGCCTTTCTTCGGAACAACTTTTGCATTTCTACAGTACTTAAATGTATCAGCAGTTATAATCAGATTCAGTTTAAATAAGTTATAAAAAGACTTGGTCACAACTAATAAATTTATGTTAGATACATGTACAAATGTAAATGACTATTTCTCTTATATTTGTCAGGTTTGTTTATCAGATGCTTACATTGTTTGGAGAATAATATAAAAGAATTACGTATCAATTTCAAAGTAAGCATAGAAATATCTTTCAAAATTTATCATTATTAAACGCTTGAAAAATCTTTTTTAGTTTGTCTGTTTTTAGCTCACCTGTCACAAAGTGACAGGGTGAGCTTTTGTGATCGCTTTTCGTCCAGCGTCCGTCCGTCGTCCGTCCCTCGTCCGTCCGTAAACTTTTACTTTAAATGACATCCCCTCATAAACCACTAAGCCAATTTCATCCAAACTTCACAGGAATGTTCCTTTGGTGGTCACCTTTAAAAATTGTTCAAAGAATTTAATTCCATGCAGAACTCTGGTTGCCATGGCAACCGAAAGAAAAAACTTTAAATATCTTCTTTTAAAAAACCATAAGAGCTAGAGCTTAGATATTTGGCATGAAACATCTTCTAGTGAGTGTCTACCAAGTTTGTTCAAATAAAAGCCCTGGGGTCAAAATTGGCCCCGCCCTGGGGGGTCATTGATTTTCCCTATATGCATATAGTAAAAACTTAAAAAATCTTCTTTTAAAGAACCCAAAGAGCTAGAGCTAAGATATTTAGCATGAAACATGTTCTAATGGGTGTCTACCAAGTTTGTTCAAATTAAAGCCCTGGGGTCAAAATTGGCCCGGCCCCGGGGGGTCATTGATTTTTCCCTATATGCATATAGTAAAAACTTAAAAAATCTTCTTTTAAAGAACCCAAAGAGCTAGAGCTAAGATATTTAGCATGAAACATGTTCTAATGGGTGTCTACCAAGTTTGTTCAAATAAAAGCCCTGGGGTCAAAATTGGCCCCGCCCCGGGAGTCATAGATTGTCCCTATATGCATATAGTAAAAACTTAAAAAATCTTCTTTTAAAGAACCAAAAGAGTTAGAGCTAAGATATTTAGCATGAAACATGTTCTAATGGGTGTCTACCAAGTTTGTTCAAATAAAAGCCCTGGGTTTAAAATTGGCCCCGCCCCGGGGGGTCATTGATTTTCCCTATATGCATATAGTAAAAACTTAAAAAATCTTCTTTTAAAGAACTCAAAGAGCTATGGCTAAGATATTTAGCATGAAACATGTTCTAATAAGTGTCTACCAAGTTTGTTCAAATAAAAGCCCTGGGGTCAAAAATGGCACCGCCCCGGGGTGTCATTGATTTTCCTTATATGTGTATTGCAAATACTTAAAAAATCTTCTTTGAAAAAACCCAAATAGCTAGAGTTAAGATATTAAGCATGAAACATCTTTTAGTGAGTGTCTACAAAGTTTGTTCAAATAAAAGACCTGGGGTCAAAATCGGCCCCGCCCCGGGGGTCATTGATTTTCTTTATATGTGTATAGCAAAAACTTAAAATCTTCTTTGAAAAAACCCAAATAGCTAGAGTTTAGATATTAAGCATGAAACATCTTCTAGTAAGTGTCTACAAAGTTTGTTCCAATAAAAGCCCTGGCCCGGCCCTAGGGGTGTCATTGTTTTTAACTATATGTGTATAGTAAAAACTTAAGAAAAATCTTCTTTTAAAAAGCCCAATGATCTAGAGCTTAGATGTTTAGCATGAAACATCTTCTTATGAGTGTCTTCCAAGTTTGTGCAAATAAAAACCCTTGGGTTATATTGGCCCTGCAACGTTGGGGGGGGGGGGGCTATATACAGGTGAGCGACCTCAGGGCCATCATGGCCCTCTTGTTTAAAGAACCAAAAAAGTTAGAGCTAAGATATTTAGCATGAAACATGTTCTAATAAGTGTCTACCAAGTTTGTTCAAATAAAAGCCCTGGGGTCAAAATTGGCCCCGCCCCGGGGGGTCATTGATTTTCCCTATATGCATATAGTAAAAACTTAAAAAATCTTCTTTTAAAGAACTCAAAGAGCTATGGCTAAGATATTTAGCATCAAACATGTTCTAATAGGTGTCTACCAAGTTTGTTCAAATAAAAGCCCTGGGGTCAAAATTGGCACCGCCCCGGGGTGTCATTGATTTTCCTTATATGTGTATAGCAAAAACTTAAAAAATCTTCTTTGAGAAAACCCAAATAGCTAGAGTTAAGATATTAAGCATGAAATATCTTTTAGTGAGTGTCTACAAAGTTTTTCAAATAAAAGACCTGGGGTCAAAATTGGCCCCCCCCGGCGGTCATTGATTTTCTTTATATGTGTATAGCAAAAACTTAAAATCTTCTTTGAAAAAATCCAAATAGCTAAAGTTTAGATATTAAGCATGAAACATCTTCTAGTAAGTGTCTACAAAGTTTGTTCAAATAAAAGTCCTGGGGTCAAAACTGGCCCGGCCCCAGGGGTGTCATTGTTTTTAACTATATGTGTATAGTAAAAACTTAAAAAAATCTTCTTTTAAAAAGCCCAATGATCTAGAGCTTAGATGTTTAGCATGAAAACATCTTCTTATGGGTGTCTACCAAGTTTGTGCAAATAAAAGCCCTTGGGTTAAATTGGCCCTGCAAACGTTGGGGGGGTGGGTTGGGGGGGCCTATATACAGGTGAGCGACCTCAGGGCCATCATGGCCCTCTTGTTAAGAAAAAGTCTAGCTATTACGATCGCTGTAGCATCATTGTCGTCTTTGTTGTCATCATGTAAAGATGTTAATGTAGCCTGTTAGTCAAACAAATTTAAAGATATCTTTATGAAACTTGGAATCAATGCTTATCATGGTAATAATTCAGTATAATTTTGAAAGCTATATATTTGGAGTTATGCTCCTTTTTTCACTTCGAATTTTTTGTAAAAAGTTGTTATTTTAATAGACAAGTGTTAACATCATATGCTATGCTCTTTTTTTTTCTTTTTTTTTTGATATATCATTAAATGAGTGTCACTGTGTGTTCTTATTTTACATAGATTGAAGAAATCATTTGTCTATTAGGAACACTGTGTATGGTACTGTTAAACCTTGGTGCACAATCTATATTAACTGGCCTGTTTAAAATTTTCAGTAATTTTTTATTCTACAATCAAGTTAACCTGTAGGTCACATAATTTCCTGCTGTAATATTTGTAATTAAGTGGTATAGTTACTGATATATTAATATTTTGTGAACCCAGGTCTCTTAAATTTTCAGGAATAAAAGATTACAGACCTGTCACCACCAGACACCTTTTCCAACATTTTAGGAATGCCACCATTACTGTATGGTATTGGAAAATTATATTGTAAAGTGTCCATAGTAACTAACAATAACGAATAAAGACATAGAAAATAAGGGAATCGCTTCAAGGAATAAATGTTTTGTATTCAAATTATAATTCTTCTTTAAATCATTTTAACTTCAATTTTTAAGGTTTTCTTTGTGAACAAAAACACTTTTCAAGGAAAGATTAAGGATTGGACATTTTATGTTTTTAAATTTGGGGAAAATCTTGGCACTGAGACCGCTTCCATTTACAGGTAGTTGCTATAAGAGGAAAACATCTGCAGATATATATGTTAAGTGAAAAGTTTAAAGGCCTATTAAGTGCCTGAATAGCATCATTTGTATTTCTTAAGAACTTCTTATTTATGGTATCTTGTTACAGTTGCAAAAAGTTACTCATTGACCGTATATAGAATTACTATCTTTTGTTTCTTATACTTTGGTATAAATACCAGTATAGTGATTTTGTCTGGAAGTCAAAATACTACTTTGTTAACATTTTTGCTACCTTTTTTGCACATTACTGCATGTTCCATGCTCCTTCTCTTCCAGGCGTTTAACATGTAATATGCTCTCAAAAGCATTATTAGACACATGGTTCAACCTTTCTAAAGAATTCAAAATATCTGATTTCTCAGGCATAATGTGCCTTTATATTTTGATGTTTTCTTTTTTCTTTATACATTTATTTATATGCTAAGAATACATCATAACAGTTCTTTCTTTATACTTGTAGTTTAATTCATTCATCTCTTAAAGGTAACTGCCTCTGGGTCGAGGGGTTAGAGTCGATGACTTTTCTAATTCCAGTTACCTCTCTGGCGTGGGTTTCGATCCCCAATAGATGCTTTGGTAAGTTTAGCGGCTGAGGAAGGTAGTCTGGTACTGGTGTAACTCTCCAGAAACGATGGGTTAGGAAACTACCCGCCTATATGACTGAAATACTGTTGGGAGGAAAGGGCGTAAAATGAAACAAACTCTCAAAGGTGATAATAGGGGTGCATTTTTCCTAAGTTCAACATTAAATTCCAAAGTTCAAACGGTTGCCTTCATTTGAGTATTAAATTGTTCTTTTGAGAGTTTATTATTAGTTATAAAAATGTAATTGAATTTACATATCAGCCTAATAATGTTATAAAATTACATGTTTGTGTATAATAAGGTTATAATCAGGTTCAATATTTTATTTGCTGATATGTTGATAAATGCAACACTGAGTGATGGTTAAGTTTAAATATTTGTTCCTTTTCCCTGTAACATGTTGTATTTTCCTTTTCTGTAACAAGTTGGCTGTATTTAACTGACAGATGTTGACAGTCATAATTTTCAATATCTACTACATTATATAATAAAAATATACAATAAATGATGTAGGTGAAATAAGATTATGTTAAACAAAGCTCTCTGTGTATCGATAACATTCCTGATAGAAAAAAAAGTAACCTCCTTGAATTTTATTGGAACTCAAACCCTCACAAAAAAAGATGAGGTCATGTCAGTGAATATAAGTGTTTTCAAAAGAGGAAATAATTTTGTTATGACCTCACCTTGTTCAGTTTTAGAAATACTTGAAGAGAGTTTAAAAGTGTAAAGGCTTGCCGAAATTGTATGATTAATTTTATAGGATGTACTTGAAACAGGAAAAATGCTTTCCAAAAAATATGTGTTTGCATCATTCTTCCGTGACCAAGTTTTTTTCAGCTCTTCATGTAAAAAATATTCAATATTTGATTAACTTTCTGTGAGAAAAAGAAACAAATCTTGCTATTCAGAGACTTTTTTCTGCTTTACAAAAAAAAGAAACCTTTCCTTTTGTTTGATCCACCTTCTTTGTTTATTGTTTTAGTGTGTTTTTTTTTTTTTTCAGAGTAAAGTTATTTCCTCAAATTGCGTATAGTTAATGGTTAATTTACAAAAAAAAAAAAATAATAAGAGTTATGTCTGATATGAAGAATTTACATCATATGTCAATGAAAGAGCAAAAATTATTATATCTTCAAGATAACCGTAATGATAATTATCTTGTACATGTTTGTTTTCTTCTTTGAAATTTCAATTCTTTTTGCTGGAATTTTTATCAACTGTGTATTGAAAAAGGTAACCGAAGAATTGAAAGGTGACAAATACCTTGTATATTTGTATACTGATTGTGTTAATTGAATTGTATTATCGGGGGATGCCTTTAGTGAACATCCCTCTCCTTTGTTGATGTATCTTTTGAAATTTTCAAAAATTTTAGAAATCAATCAATTAATATAGATCATTTAATTAACAAAATAACCTGAAACAGAATAACTTTTTCCTTATGAAATTATAAGTAGGGAGTCTTGGAGTGCATTGTGTGCAGATTTTTGGTTTATTCAATATTGAATACAAATCTCTAAAACAGAAATGGGCGGATGATGTTATGCAAGAAATTTAATGATAAACCATGCAAGGAGGACCCTGAAAAGATGATAAACTATGTAACAGATCTTGATAAACTTATTGTAACATCTGTTAGCTGCTGATAACTGTATATTATTTTCTTCTTCAGTTAATTCTCTCAACAGATGAAGTGTTTAGTGAAAACTTGAGTTAATTCTGAATAACCTTCATTTACCTGTAATGTTTTACTCAAATTGCCCTCTCAGGTTTGAATATCTAACATAACTTTCTTCTTTTACCTGTTGTTATGAAATTGCCATTTCTTTCTCATAGAATAAATGATTTACAGAAAAGATTATTTTAATATATAATTTTTTTTCGGTACTGTGTGAAAGCTGTCAGTGTTGAAAAAGTGTAATCCCTCAGAAGCATTAATCACAACAAAGTTTTATGAAAATTGTAGATTTTTTGGTGTTTATTTGAGTCTGTACATAAGGGATTAATTGAA